AGATATCCAGAAGTTGAAGTGATGCAAAGCACGACAACCACGGTTGTGATTTCCAAACTCCAAAGAATCTTTGCCGGACATGGATATCCCGAAGAAGTGATAACCGATAACGGACCCCCGTTCAATGCGGTTGAGTTCACCGAATATCTAGCTGCACATGGAGTCCATCACCGCCGAATCACACCTTATTGGCCTCAAGCCAACGGTGAGGCAGAGCGATTCATGAAAACAGTAACAAAAGCAATCCGTACTGCTCATTCGGAAGGAAAAAGATGGCAAAGTGAATTAGATCTTTTTCTTCTCAACTACAGATCCACACCTCATTCTACGACACACATTAGTCCAGCTGAACTTTTGTTCAATCGCTCATTTAGAAATAAGCTTCCTAGTTTCTCATCCCTACAACACAATGATGGCCCTGTGGAACACCACGTTGTTCGAGATAAGGAGGAAAAGGAGAAAATGAAAGTCCATGCTGATAGAAGAAACAACGCGAAAGAAAGTCAGTTGAAAGTTGGTGATCATGTGCTAATGCAAGTCCCGAAGGACAATAAGTTATCAATGCCTTTCAATCCAAAACCATTTAAAGTGATTGAAATCAAAGGCAACATGGTAACAGCTCGTAATACAGAGCGCACCGTAACCCGGAATGTATCGTGTTTCAAATGTCTCACAAATTACAAGAACGCAAGTGAGGAAGACCAGAATAATGAAGAAGACGATTTTCACGACGGCATAGTAGAAAACCAGCAACCAACAATAGTTGAAGAGCAACAACAAGATCTACCAGATCTACAACGAAGGTATTGTCTTAGACAAAATCGAAGACCACCGGACTTTTATAGAAGTTAGACATGTTAAAACTAGTTAAATAATTACTGGTAAAGCGGACACGTAGACTTTATAAGGTAATATTCAATAAACAGCAATTAACATTAATGAGTTATTTTAAAGAAAAGGAGGGATGTAATGTAGTCACGTCATGTCACGTGATGTAATATATATTTAGGTATCAGAAAGAGACCACGTGTAAGAAAATAGGGTTTTGATATTGAAGGCAATAAAAGTACATTTTTATACTGTACAACTTGTACTAAAGAGATACATTATAACGTATAGTGTTATTTTCAAGCTTCTATATTTAAAATGTGACTTTTGTTGCCGAATTTTGCATTTCTGCTCCGAATTTGCGTTAATCCCAAACCGGAAATACGACGAAAAACCGTCAAAACAATGCGAAGTTTGTATCGCGTGACTCTGGAAATGCCAGAAATGGATTCTACAGGTCAAAGTGCACCGATACGCGTGAGTTTGACGTCACCCCGGCTAAAGGAGCTCCTTATTGGCCAAGTATTACGCAATACACGCGCGTGCGAGTAAAACCCGATACCTTGAAAAATTCAAAATAAATATTTCTACTCGCCGTATTCATACGAAACTTTCTACACGAAAGCGCTTGAATACAAAGAGTATTTTACACATATATCCTTTCAGAAAATGACGCCAAATTTTAGAATATATTCAACTTTTTCTCGTTTGAATGTTTGGCGACAGTGGCGTGCTGGCAGGGGGGGCCGGGGGGCCACGGCCCCCCCAGCTGGCAATTCTTGGAGGGCGCAAAAAATGAATCGGGGGCGCCGATACCGCGCCGAATTTTGAAAGTGGGTGGGAAAAAACGCATTTGAAAAAATATGGTTACTTCCGCCAAAAAAAGATGTGTTTATACAATTGCAAAGTGATATATAAAATTACAGACTATTTTGTCTAACCGTATTTGCAAATTTGCTAGCCTACCTCACGGCTCACACACAAAATCGTTCATATAGAAACATGATCAGTGATCACACGCAATGTCTCATTACCGGAATATTGATCACGGGAATAATGCCCTTTTTTGCTGGTACGCCCTTATATTATGCCCTTTATTATGCTTCACGAATCACGAGAGCGGCGCAAATTAGATAGTCATATATTATAATGTAAAGTTGTGTACGCAATTTAGTTGTTTGTGCAAGAAACATCATGACTCATGAGTAATGTAAGTAATAAGATAATGTAAATGCTGAAACGCGCCCTTTTGGCAGCCAAGCAAACCTTATAATGCATATGCGTGGGGTCCGTGTGTTATTGTATAAAAGAGCTGTAAGTTGTAAATGTATTCAGATCATTAATCGCTGGAATTAGTTCGCATTGCCCAATTTAAGTACTACTGCTAAATTCTAACCAAATTGCAAATTTCGACACGTTATAATGCCGATTCCTGACCATCAGATTTCTGTCAAACCTTCCCCCCAAAGTCCAGGAAATGGCATTTCAGAGACCCTAAATTCAAACATTTTCCGAGGGGGCATGCCCCCGGACCCACCTAGAGAAACCTCGCACCTTCGGCGCGAGGCTCGTGCCTTCGGCACTCGTTTATCAAGCAATACAATATAGGGGCGCATATTAGTTGATAGCCCACTGGCCACCCCAGAAAAATAGTACCCAGCACGCCACTGTAATTGGCGAAGCGGTGAGTATAAATATATGATTGTTTCGGTTTGTGTAATGTTTTGACGGCACTTGACCCCCCGTTCGAAAGGTTATATTGTGAGGATTTTAATGGTGGCATTTATTTAAAAGGGGGGTAAATACTCGCCGAGATATTTATATTAGAAAAATTGAATCGAAATGTAATACGAAACCGGTTGTCGAGAAAGAGTTGTTACGAACAATGAGAATGTGCAATGCATTTAGGTATCGTATACATTCTTGTGAGGAGTTATACCATTGATAGGTCACTTTGTAATCTGGCCAAAAATTTACTGACCAGCAATAACGTTGTATTTGGTTACAGAAAAGTGGTTTACTGCATAGACCAAGCATACTTTGTTTTCTCTTTTTTAGTGGTTACTGTCTTACTGCAAGCTTCACAAATTGACGTGACTGAGGCTAGTACCAACGCTATTGTCCTTGTTACAGTGAATGGTGCCAGAGAAAGGGAAATAAGTGTCAAGTGAGTTGAAATATTCATAGGATGATGGGGTTCGTAATTATACGAATTTTGATCCCTTCTTTCGAGATCCTCATGTACACCCAACACTTTGGGTCCCTGGGATTAGATAATACTATAGGTATATAGTTTTCAAAAAGTGTTATACTACACTAGGTATTTTAAGTCGAGAGCCAACTTCCTTTTTCTCTCTTAGTCAAGCAGTTCTAGCTGTATGGTCTTATTTTCAATAATGACGTTCAGTTATATAGATTTGAATGCTGCACTGGAACCTGCACGCATGCGGGTTGATATTAGCGACCTTCAGTGGGAAGCATTCATAGACAAGCACCACGGCATGTGCATGGTCCCTAATGATCCCTAGCTGCGGTCCCTAGCTGCGTTAGTGCCTGCTAATTAAAACTGTACTTCAGAATAAGGCAAATTTCCAAATGGAAAGAAATATATAAAGATGGAAAAATGATGTACCCCATAAAATACCTCCATATAACATCCCTTTTTGTGATCCCAGTCAGTATAAACCCTAAATTCAAACCCAATTAATACATTTGCATAATTCATTTTTCATACAGTGTATCGACATACGATGTTTCTGCCTTTGCTGTACTGAACGACTACTATGCAAAAATTGAGATAGTAACATTACAGCCAAACAGCCTTCAGGCACCATTCCTTGTCCGTATACGTGAAGACAACATTGTTGAAAATACTGAGCAGTTTGGAGTACAAGTTGCAACCACTGATCCACAAGTGAATGTTATAAATAGAAACCTTCAAGTTTCCATAACGGATAATGACAGTAAGTAACTTTAATATACATTAAAATACTCATTAATAATTCATACACCTTGTTGCAAATCATGTCAGCCATAATATGTCACGTGGAGTGACTTTATATCTGATAAAACTCATCTTTATTAGTATTCTTTATATAATTGTTCATCCTAATTAGTATGGTTATATAAATGTTCATCCTAATTAGTATTCTTTTGTAGTTGTATTATAAGCTATTCAAAACACTCGTTGTCGTGTTTTTTCAGATATATAACGCTCGGCTGCTCCTCGCGTTTTATATCTGATAAAACACTCTCCTACTCGTGTTTTAAATAGTACATAAACTTCGCATTGTAACTTCTCACTTGAGTCCCCTCCAGTGAGAGGGTAATATTCTTTGTCACATATAATTTTTAAGACGTGTTATAATACACTAGGTTCTAACACTCAGGTTAACGTGCTCGTTGTGAAAAGAATGGCGATCATGGTAATAATTTTCTAAGGATTTATCTATCAGTTATAAACACATGACCTGTTACCTTTTAACACTTTATTGTTAAATGCCTGCCACTATCCTTGTAACATGGGCATTCATACCTCTCAGAAATTACCTTAACGATGGATTCAAATACATATCAAGTGGAAGAAGATGATGGATTTGTAAGTGTTCGAGTGGTTGTAACTGGAGTGACAGCAGTCGAAATCGCAGGAAGGTATTTTTACTTGCAGTTTACAAACTATGATTTATTGTAAGTTCAGTAACACTATATATATATATATATATATATATATATATATAGATATATAGATATAGATATAGATATATATATATATATATATATATATATATATATATATATATATATATATATATATATATATATATATATATATATAGGTTATCATATAAGGGATGAGGAGATATCAGTTTTATCGCTCGAGGGATGATATCACAATTGTCACGAGTGAGTGCAGCGAGCGAGGGACAATTGTGATATCGTCCCGAGAGCGATAAAACTGATATCATCGAATCCCGAGTACGATAACCTATTTATTATATACTTGTACCTTTATCAGGGTTTGACACCCAAAAATAAACAGTTTTGAAAAAAAAGGATCATTTTAGAATTAAAAAAAATTCATCATTTACTGAACAAATATGATTTTAGAAAATAAATAGACCATTCATATAAATAATATACAATTTAAGTCTTTCGTTTTGTATTATCGTTCTTGTTTCCTTCGATAAAACTGTCGACATCAACCAACACGAACCTCGAGTCGGCCATCTTTGTTTTGACAAGGCGCGAAATTTAGCGGGACAAAAAACGATATCCGGGACAAAAAAGATATCCGGGACGATATCGTTTTAATATCCCGCCGCTTCCTACCTGATAAAGGTACGTGATAAATATATATATATATATATATATATATATATATATATATATATATATATATATATATATATATATATATATATATATATATATATATATATATATATATATAACTACAGACGGTACTGTTTCAGCTTTATGGGCCTCATAACGACGATGGAACAATAACCGTTGGAACAAGACGATGGAACAATAACCGTTGGTGTGACGGTCACTGGCTCTACTGCTCTTACTCTGGAATTTGAGTAGGACCACAGGGAGCCCAAGCGTTGATCTGTGTTAGTGTTGTATGTTTTTCAGTTTATTTATTTTAGTGTCTTTATATTGCCTTTTAATTGAATTATAACACTAAATTACAGTAATATATCATATAATAATAATACTCCTATAGTCGAACATATAATAACAACATATAAGTTGATTTGTATTTTTATGTTTTTCAGTTTATTACACTGACCTGAAAGGTCAAGTGTCTTAAATCCCTAAATATCTGTTTTTCCTTAAATCGAGTTTGCGTTAGCGCATCGCAGGCTCAGTTTCCAGTGTTCCAGTCGTTCCAGTTTACTATACAGATCAGTTTTCAAGATGGCGGCCATTCAATGAGTGACTATTTCAGTTTCAAACAATTTATTCATTTGGCAACGAATTTTAGCGCGTTTTTCTGTGGATTTTGGATTTATCCTACTCTGCACTTTCTTGGAAGTTGACTGGGTGTTTTTTTTCGTGCAACGTCTCTGGAAATGCAATATCTGGATCGGTGAGTTTTTCGAATTTTATTCGTTTAATTCGGAATCACGGAATGTAAACAATGTTGTCTGCATTAGCGCATCGCATGCTCAGAGACCATGTGCATTTATGGATAACGTTTGTATTTGTGAGTAATATTTGTGTTTCATTGGGCATTACAAAAACATCTCTTGAGGATCACGCCACGCTTTTAGCCTTTCACCGTTTCACGCTTTGCGTTTGTTCGTATTCTTGTCTATTGCACCATAATGACGTATGTCGTCATTTTCAGGTCAGTGTGAACGCCTGAGCAGGCGCGGCGTCTTGTTTATTTAAGATATATTATTAGTTTATATAAAAGCACCGCCTTTCGAACCTGACAGCCCGTTCGCAGGATACACGCGTTATTTCACACTGAAATAAGAAATGTGACAAGGGATGAAATTACAACACGGCGATGTTTTATTTTGAAGCCGTAAGTGCTTGTTAAAACGAGTTTTAGCTTGAAATTCGGCCACATGATATGTCTAACGCTAAAGTACATAGCTATTGAAGAATTTTGTGAAATAAAAGCCCTAGAGTCTTATAAATTGCTATAGTTTTTAATAGCGACGTTTCGTAGGATTAACGCCCCGACTTGACTGGACCTAATGTATTTAATTTTTAATTTTAAACATTGAAATCGTTACGGTCGACACAAATTGACTTCTCACCTTGAGTTGTATTCGAGTTTGCTTCCTTGTTTATATCATTGATTCCTAAATGTTGACGGCGTTATTCGACACGGCACTCATTGCATAATTATCGGTCATAATACGACAAAGTTTAAGAGTTTCATCCCTTGTCATGTATTTATATTGTTGCCGGCCCCTATTTCAAATAGCGCGCGTATCCTGCGAACGGGCTGTCAGGTTCGAAAGGCGGTGCTTTTATATAAGCTAATATAAATAGATCTTAAATAAATAAACTGAAAAACATACAAATACAAATCAACTTATATGTTGTTATTATATGTTCGACTATAGGAGTATTATTATTATATGGCATATTAGTGTAATTTAGTGTTATAATTCAAATAAAAGGCAATATAAAGACACTAAAATAAATAAACTGAAAAACATACAACACTAACACAGATCAACTGGGCTCCCTGTGGTAGGACTAATATTGTTTGTTTGCTGCCCCTAACCTTCCAAACTTCCAAACTTTGTATATATATATATATATATATATTTTTCTGTGTTGATGTTGTGTACTCAGGTGAATATGATATTTGCGATGTTACTCTGAGTGTATATCCACACCGGGCGAGCTTGAAAAATATGCCCGGCCACGGTGGGATTCGAACCTACGACCTTTGGAATACTAGCCCAATGCTCTTCCAACTGAGCTACGCGGTCAGGACGGTTCGAGTAAGTGATATTTCGGAACAGAATCTGGTTCCTTCAATACCAAT